TGCACCACCACCCTCTTGCCCCTCCCCCCACCCCGCCAAAAACCCCTGCTGCATTAGGTAACCAAATTTTTATATAACTGGCAACCCCACTACCCCACTCATGCCAGATAACAAAGCTTTTACTGTAGTTAGGTGGGTTAGTCTAAAATCAGGCAAAACATAGGGCAGGGTGGCAAATTAGGGTGCTTGTACATGTGACAAAAATTGGCCGCTTTTGCAGTTTAATTGTGGCATGCTGTATACATGCAGGGGTATTTAGGATTTAAATGAGTTTGCTACATTGCAAACTAAATCATATCCATATGAAGTTTATTTTGCAAGGTTGCTATTTCTAACCTTGCAGTCTTTGACAGCCGCCCCGCAACTGCAGGAGAGGGGGGCTGCTGAAGGCAGAAGCAGTGAGGGGCCCGATCCTTTTTTTCCTTTTTTGCAGAGCCTATCAGCATCTCCCACATCTGTGGGGGTGAGCTGCTGGTGGGCTGAGTGGCCCCTGAGCTGCAGAGGGCCCTGGTTCTTGTTTCTGCGGTGGCAGCGCCCCCTGGGGACGCCCAGGTGGGCTGCCAGCTGGCTGGATGCTGCCCCAGCTCAGGGAACAGTTGAATCGGGCTGAATCCCACCCCCCAAAAAAGGATTGGGCCCCTCACCGTAACAGTGATGGAAGCCCCTAAATTAAAATGGTGGGTTTTTAATCATTGCAATTACCAACCCACTGTTTCAATTTAGCGTTGACATGTACAAGCAGCCTTAGAGAGTAACTAGTTTGGAGAGACATGAGCTTTCATAGGCAATAGCCTGCTTTGTCAGATTCTATGACAATGCATCTGACAAGGCAGTTGTTTCTTACAAAATCCCTAAATCTGATTTATTAGATATCATAAATACCATACTATAAAGAAACTAAACTGCCTCTCAACAGTACCCAAAATGAACTCAGAATAATAAGGCTACTAACAGATATCTTCATACTTACTACTTCACGTTTTTCTACTTCAAACCAACGAGATATCCCAGGCAAACTCTGTACTAAGATCAGTGTGGTCCTCTCTACCCACAGGCTCTACAATATACAAACACAAATTATTTTCTCCATTATTTTTGGTGGTACACCTGGACCATTATTGTTGCATTGTACTTCTGTCATCTTCGTTTTTCCCTTGTTCATTCACTCTTTCACAGGCATCTATTTTCTTTCTGGATTTCTTAATTTATGTGATGACCAAAAGCGTATGATATATAATTTTCTCCTTTACCTTTCAGAACTAACTCTAATGATTAGCTTTGGCTGATCTTACCTTTCTGAAGGGAAAGCAGGAGGGGAAATTTGTGTTTAGTGACTAACTTTAAAAGTCTATCAACATAAAATATAATCTATTTGCATGCTCATTTTACTACAGTGTAGACTTGATAAAATACTTACCAACCCTTGTCCTGACATCAACTGACACAAATTGAGGTTTCTGTAGTGCATCACATAATCCTTATACTAAATATACATAAACAAAGGAAACCGGCTGTGACTTCAAGAGTTCCCTACTTCCTTAAGGATAGGAAGGGGCGAGGAATAACCTGTGCTAGCCATTTAGGGCATTTGTAGATGACACGGGGATTTAAATTGAAGCTTTAAATTACTTTTTAATTTAAAAAACACTGCTACAATTTAGGGTGAAGTAAACCCCCGTGTCATGTATACCCATGTCCTTATCTGCCTCTCCAGTGGCAGGGAGGGGAGAGCAAGCTGCCGGTAGCACAAGCAGTCCCTGAGCTGCGCGGTGGGGTGGGGCTGGCGCTTCCCTCTGCGGCAGCGGTGTCGTTCTCACCCCACTGCAGACACCCACTGTGGACTCCAAGATGAACATGAGTCGGCAGTGTGACGAAGCCATCAGAAAAGCCAATGGCACTTTATCGTGCATCAGCAGATGCATGACGAATAGGTCCAAGGAGGTGATACTTCCCCTGTATCGGGCACTGGTCAGACCGCAGCTGGAGTACTGAGTGCAATTCTGGGCACCGCACTTCAAGAGGGATGCGGATAACCTGGAGAGGGTCCAGAGAAGGGCCACTCGTATGGTTAAGGGCCTGCAGACCAAGCCCTACAAGGAAAGACTAGAGAAACTGGACCTTTTCAGCCTCCGCAAGAGAAGGTTGAGAGGCGACCTTGTGGCTGCCTATAAGTTCATCACGGGGGCACAGAAGGGAATTGGTGAGGCTTTATTCACCAAGGCACCCCCAGGGGTTACAAGAAATAATGGCCACAAGCTAGCAGAGAGCAGATTTAGATTGGACATTAGGAAGAACTTCTTCACAGTTAGTGTGGCCAAGGTCTGGAATGGGCTCCCAAGGGAGGTGGTGCTCTCCCCTACCCTGGGGGTCTTCAAGAGGAGGTTAGATGTGTATCTAGCTGGGGTCATCTCGACCCAGCTCTCTTGCCTGCTGATGCAGGGGGTCGGAGGGGGTCGGACTCGATGATCTATTGAGGTCCCTTCTGACCCTAACATCTATGAATCTATGAAACCCAACTCGGGCAGTCCTAGGAGGTACTGCAGCTGTGGAGGGAAGCACCTGGCCCACACACAGCTCATGCAGGCTCCAAGGAAGAAAAAAAAAAAAAAAAAGAATAAACTCGCTGCTTTTTTTTTTTCCTTCAGCGTACCCTGCCTTACTGGGCTGCTGCTAGGCTGCCTGCTGGGGCCGTCTGCACAGTTCCTGAGCCACATGGAGCCCGGTGATTCCCTCCGTGACTGTAAGGTAGCAAACTAAAACTCCTCGGAGGTTTTTTAGTTTGCTGCACCCGAAAGTCATTTAAGGTGCATTATGCCGCCAAATTTGCTACAGCAGCTGGAATTAACGTGCAATATGCCACTGAATTTGCAAACTCATGCAAACAGAAGCACCATTAAAGGTGTAAAAGGGCATTTAACCCACTTTAATGTGTTGTCTCCAAATGCCCATACCTGACAAAGATCTAGAGTCTGTGGGGAGGTCATGCCCCCTGCACACTGTTACCTGGTATAGGGGTTATGTGGGCAGGGAAGGAAAGGGGCTCTTTATGCTTTCTCCCTCCCTTGGCACAGCATGTAGTAAAAGTGACAACTGTGCCTTATGTTTGCTTTTCTTGATATTTTAATTAAAATCCGAAGATTATGAAAGCTATAATTGACTGACCACCTTCTACCATTTACTATAGTTCCCTTGATTCAACAACATAATAAATAATCCTTTGAACAGGTTTTTATACAATGCCAATTGCAGAAGAGACTGTTTGGCACTATACCTTGAATTCGTTCTCCTTATCTTTGGTCCCTTTGTGGAATGGCCTATCATACCGGAATCTCCAGATGTGATTCACTTTATAAAAACTCTTGATATTATCTGGGATGCCCTCTCGCTGCAGGACTTCCTGACTTTCAGGAATTGGGGTCACTGCATAGATCTGCAAATCTAAGTGTGAAGAGTTAAGGACAACACAGACTTAGCAAAACAAATTGACTTGCCTATGGAGCTTGAAGAAACAACAATCCTGTGTAGGCTCACATCATTAAGCTTCTAAACAATTAACACATTTACTTGGAATAATCATATTTATTTCTAAAATGCAACTATTTATTTTATGGAAATTAAAAGGTTTAACTAATTTGTAATGGATTCTCCTTTATACTTCATACATGGCCAATGATGTCATACTGACTGTTGTAAATCAAAAACTAACATTACTGTAACTTGAGCAAATATATTAACACTCATATTGTGACAGTTCTGCAAAGTAATTTTGGCTAAATCAAGATGTTTGACCACATATCTCTAACCAATCAACAAAAGGAAAAAACCCCAAGCCATGTAAAAACATAATATACTGGCTAGAAATATTTTACATCAAAAAGTTTAATGGAAAAAGTCCCCAAATTCCACCCTGGTATAAAACCATTTATGTTACGGGAGTTACATTACGATTGAATTTGTCTGTAGATTTACATTTTTTTTAAGTGGGCAAATATTTAACTTCAAATTATAGTTGCATGAATATATGGATACACTGTGCTTCTGCCTGAAAGATGGTCTCATCTGGCTGATTAGCATGTTGCATAGCAATGGCATGTGGGAACTCATTCAGCATTCGTTGCTGGAAAGCCTCCAGTCTCTCATAGTCATGTCCTCGGCAAACAAACTCCTTGTTCTGAGCAGAATAAAAGTAAAGCAGGGCTAATTATTTGGGAATAATTGGGTGCCATTAAAATATTAAAATACATACTGTTAAAACGAGGGATTTTTGCATGATTTAAACAAAGAAAAGGTAAATAAAAGGTTAGAAATCAAAATGTATAGGAAAATGAATTAATCAGAAGTAAAGTAAATGTAACTGTGCCATATAAAGTCTATATTGTTACTGTAAAACACTTTGGGAAATCTAATTACTACATATTTTTGTTAACAGTGATCTGCAGGGCAAAACTGTCCTCACGAAATGGAAATATGTAGCAGTAATGTAATGTAATGGACAGTAAAGGCAGCAGGATGAGACTGTAATCCTTTGTGAGATGTATACCGTTAGCTGTTAGTCTGAAATCTTGCCTTATGGATGCATCTTGGAGTAAAAGAAACCACAAGAAGCCTTAACATTAATCCAAATTGCTTCTTCTAAAGATTGCACGGGTTGCCTGCCTGATGCATTCAGCCTGGACAGACGTAGGGGTGAGGGGGAGGGAAGAAGGGTACTGCTGGCTCTTGCACTGAATCTTCCACATGACTGCTCATTGTGCCAGTTCAGCTTGTCTTTAAACACTATTGTGTGCAATGCAAATCTCCCATTAAACACTAGATGCCAGAAGTTGAATTCCCTGTGCAGTACTAATTGCTGACAATAGTTGTGACAATAGTCAGTAATGTTAAGGGAACACGTCTTCCTTCAGCTTCCACTACCCCTGAACAGTACTTCCTGACTTTACACAAGTCTTTTGTGGATTTTGTGTCTGGAGTGTACATCCTTATAATTTCTAAGTTATAATATGAAATAAATTTACTGGCTTTATCTATTTTACAGCAGCAGTTTGGTGTAATTTTAATGACATAATTAAAAATTATTCAAAAGAGATATTTTTTTAAAGGAGAAACAATAATTGTAAAATCATGAAGATACAAGCAGCAGTACTATGCATCTTACAGCTTCAGCTCTAGCTTCAGCTCCAGGTGAAACCACCTGAGTGCTGCTACAGTGATAAGAAAAGGGTGGTCTGATGTGGGGCAGAAGCCTGGTCCCCCACATTTTTTATTTCAAGATATATATATAATTTTGGAGGTCTGGAGCTCTTGTCCATTCTGTGGGACAAACCTTCCCTCCCCCTTAGGGTAATACTGGGATCTAGTTTACTCCTACAGTTTCTGCACAGAAATATTTTATATATGTCACAATTAAGTTCACAAAGACAGAAAGAGATGGCAAAGGAAAGTACACAAGACCCAATTCCTCCATCATCTTTATTCCAGATTTACTTACTCTCAGGAAAAATGGAAATTTTTTGCCATAAAATCCTACTCTGAAGAATTCTGGCTCCAAACGCTGTTGATCCATAATTTTATCATACAAGGAAGCTTCCATCATCTGAGCATAGATTGAAAAGAATAAATTAAATTGCTGTTTATATGTTTAGACCATAATATAGAGGAAAGTGTTTTAGCTCAGTGCCCCAAGTTATAACAATCACCATGTAATTCTAAACAGCAATAAGAAACTGTTTTGTCATACAGCAAGATTAATATTTACGCTATGCAGTAGTTTGAGAGTCCCAGACATTTTGTGAAGTAACTTTATCTGTGTGAACATGTCTATTGTTGCATGAACAAAAAACTAGATCTGTTAGATTAATAATTATATGCATGTTTTCTTATTTAATGTTTGTCATTTCCATGCTCATTACCCACATGTGATTTGAGACATAATGCCAATTCTTTTTCTGATTACTCAATATTTGACCACAAGATGGTTACTTGTATTAACACAGGGCTCGAAAACCACTTCCAAGGGAGTTGTGGTTTTAAATCTCACCAATTTTCAGTGGGAGCTGAATGCCTTAGGATCCTTTGAAAATTCCAGGCACACAATTACTATTTTAAAATCTCATATTTCTTCTGGTGGTATTTAAAACAAATATTTGCTAAAGAGTGAATGAGCTGCAATAGTCAATTATTGATTCAATTTTATTAATTTGATAGAATTGATAACTGAGGAAGAGCTATGGAACTGTAGCTGTACTACTATCGATTGCATCCCTATTAAAATCACTAGGAGAAGCCTCTTGCCTATATAACTGAGATTAACATCGGTGGTAAGTATACACTGGAGGAATATTTATCATTTCAGATATCCATGTTTATCCAGAATGTGAATAAATTAAACAGTTAAACAGAAATGACTAGGAGCAAAATTCTCTTCTCAAATTCACACTGTAACCTGCATTTTTAAATATTTGTTTAGACAGATTAGCTATGCTGCAATCAGTGCAAGCAGTCAGGTCAGCATTAAGTAAGCTTAAGCACAATTTTAAAGAGCATTACTGCAATGTACAAAGCTTATGTTTTTTCTGCTCGATCTATCGAACCAAGACTTTGAAAAGGGAAGACTATTTGAAAAAATATAATACCCAACAGAAAAAAAAACAAAAAACAAAGAAAGGCTTTAAGTTCAGGTCTCCTAAAAGACATCAGAAAGAAAACAAGAAATTTCTGTCAAAAAGAGAGGAAACCTTTATTTAAGTTATGGACTGTTAAATTGTCAGTTTTTACAAAATAAATAATAATAATAGTTCTCTGAAACACAAGAATTGCTCTATTATTTTTCTGTAGTAAAAAAACAAATGACAACTAAGAGCTGGTATTTTTCAAGGGGTGCCTTAAGTTTAACAATGTTGTATACTGGTGTATAGTATTTTATTGAAATATAAGCAACAACCATGTCAACAACAGAGCAAAGCTTTGTACTCACTCAGGGTTAACATTATTATTATTATTTTGCAAAAGTTCAGCTGGATGTATAAAATGGAAGCACTACATGTCCATCAATTTACTGTTTCCCTGCATAAATTTCAGACTACATTATACAAATATACATTGCAGGAAACAAGAATCCAGGGTAAGACTGGCATATAGGTCATAGAAAGCTTACCTGAGCAAACATGATTTCCTATTAATCGTTTTGTTAAACTATAATTAAAAGGGAATTCCTTACCCTCATCTTGCTGAGATTTCGGTAGTCATAGTAGCTCTCATACTGCTCTGCAATTTTTCTGCACAAGATAATACCATTCTCCCAACACTGCAGGTAAACAAGAAATAGACATGCTGAACCACAATGAGAAATTTAAACAGGTTTTTTGACTGTTTGAAATACATCTTCAATGACCTCCGTTGTTGCTACAGTTTAACTATAGACAGCAAGCATAAGGCAGACAATAGCTGCCAAGAGACAATTCACAATGTTAAAGACTCTCTTTTCTAATCTAACTGAATTGCACTCCATGTGAATGAAAACACTTGAACATAATATACATTGCTTTCAGTACACTGATCGGGACAAAACTACTCTTGTTGATTTTTTTGTGTATCAAGACATATTTACAGAGTTATTGAATAACATTAGCTATTAAGATACAAATTGTTGGACCACCATAGAAGATAAGCCACAATTCAAGTGCTACCTGTCTTTTCAAGCATAGTACATGGAGTAGGCTCAACTAACTATACTTTTCTATGTATTTCTATTCACATTTTATATGCAAAGGAGTGAGAAGGGTTAAGACAAAAATATATTCTCCTTGCCTTTTTCTGGGAAAAGTCAGATTAGAAACCTGGTTTTGATATCATATAATCAGAGCACCTTTAAATTCTTTATATCATTTTTGCCTTTTTTGAACATTACTTTTACTTTAAGTACTCTCAGAGGTTTCGATAGCTATTACAAAAGATAAAGTCTATCTTTCTGTACCTGTGTACGAATTAGAGAGAAGACAGATTAATTTAATGATTAGGTGTAGGGATAGCATAATTTCAAATTGGACAACACTCATAAATTATATTTGTGCCAGTCTTCAAAGCAACGTGCTGTTCCTGTAACTACTCCTACTGAAGTTGGGATACAAATTATTGATAGTGGCACTACACTATGGTCACCATTACAAAGTTATCAACACTTATTTGTGAAATAGTATTATTGATATTGCCATTGCTATTCTAAGAAACTAGCACGATTCAGCAGATAGACCACAGGGACAAGAGACCTAGATTTCATTCCCATGTCTATCACTGACGCATGCATTTGGCAAGTTTCTTTCCTTGTGTGATGCAGCTTCATCAAATGATATTGTCCTTTGTGAAATGTTGTGTGTTTGACATTTTTAATTAAAAGCACTATGTAAATGCTAATTAAGATTACCTCATAGGTCACTGCGTAATTTAATGTAGGACATAAGAACAGAAAGGTCCTAGGCAAGGTGGATGAATTCATAACAAATGCTGATTTTGAAACAGCAGCTGCCACCCTGATTCAAGACATAACACTGAAAAATTGGAAGTGATTTGATTATATTAAAACCATTTATGATTAAATCAATAAAAAGCCTGCTTACTTTCCCCCTGTCAAAGTTCTGGATGATAGTGAGGTGAAGACACTCTTTGCGTTGCCATTCTGTTTGCATGGGATAATTTAGAAATTCTCTCAGTGGCCTGTCGGACCATTCCAATAGCTCATCATACAGCAATAGTGTGTAGGCTGCCTCTATAAGACAAGTTACAATATATTTTATGTAAACAGGAAACAAATATAAAATAGCTCATTTATTTAAATAGCCAACTATTTAAGACAGTATCTGTATAAATACTCTCAAACTGTTATACATCTTCAGGAAGAACCAGTACACCTAAATTGCAACCCCCAGAGCTTGTAGCATCGGCTTTACATAAGGCTCAACATTTTCCATGGTAAGTCTGGTAATTAATATTGTCCGACTTGGATTATTCAAAATGAAATTTTTTGTGTCAGGTGTCAGTGTCAACTGAAATATTTAATATATTTGCAAAAACGGTTTATTTATTTTTAAGAGCAAATTTAGGGGAAAGAATGCTGCTTTGTCCATTTTATGACGTTTTAAACTCATTTGGTTGAGAAGCTTTAGTCCCTCCGTTCATCAGAGCAAGAGAATGGCCAAATTGTGTCATGTTATAAGGCACTGAAAAATCTGTTGGCTCAGGAGAGACCTGTTTGAGTTTGACAACTAAAGTTTTCAAAGGGTGTCTATACATGTGCTCTGGGACAGGGTGGGAGGGGCAATATAGTTAGAACAGCTCCCAGACAGTTGCTCTAATTAAAACACAGCAGTATCATGTGTATTCAAACATCCCACATTTCAAAATGGCCACGGGGCACTTTAGCTAGACCTTATTTGATGAGTTTTAGTTAAAGCACCCCTGCTGCCATTTTGAAACACAGAATGCTGAATCCACGTGATGCTGCAACACGCTGGAGCATTCCAATTAGGAGCATGTGTATAGGCTCCCACAGATTCCAACTACACTTGGCCAGCTCCAGCTGACTGCTGCAGGTACTGAGCAGAGTTTCCCCTGTAACTGCTGCTCCTAGTATCACAACGCACTGGAACCAAGGATGGGGAACTTTTCTCCCCCCAGCGATCTCTCAGCTGATGTCTGAAAAAGGAAAAAGAATCTGACTAAACCACAGAGGTGTTAGGTGCTGGGCCTGAGAAAAGTGGAGGAAGGAAAGAGGCAGGGACAGTAGATTGGGTTGAGGGAGCGTGGGTTAAGAGACTTGGAGGAAAAGCAAGAGGGAAGAATGAATACTAGGAGTAGTATAAGAAAACCTGGTAATGAACTAGAAGCCAGTCAGAGGAGGCAGCATATAGATTGATTGGATAAAGATTTACAGGTATGGGCACAGACTGGCACCATCTGTGCAAGGAGACTGGGGCTAAGAGATGGAAAGCAGTGGTGAGGAGAATGAGAGGAGGAACTGGCAGAAGAAAACAGCTAGCACAGCAACAGGCTGGATAGGATATTGCAGAAGAGATCAATCAGATTTGAGGGCTCAATAGAAGCAAAGACCTCCTGCCCACTAGGACCCATTCTCCTCCAGTACCTGGAATTAAAACCCAAGATTTCCAGTTTTACCATTCTACCATTCCTTTGTCATCACAGGTATCTGAGAAACCCACCAGCAAAATGTCTCATTCCCTCCTGGTCTACATAAAAGATGACAAGTTACAACTGCCATCTCTGACTATAAGCCTTCTGACAGAGGGTATGTGCTGTGAAGCTGAAGTTTCACGTGGGGACCCAGCATAATTTTTCTATAACAGAATTTGCATCTTTCGGTTTGCTTAAAAAACAAACCAGCAAATGTTCTAATGGTTAAAACAACTGAATTTTGCTCTCAAAAACTGGTTCTACTCCTGTTTGTGCCACAGTTCCTATGGGACACTGGTAAGCCACTCAAACCAAACTTTTCAGAGGTGGCACTAAGTGGATTTCTCATTTTATGGATACCAAGCTGAAATCTGAAGAATAAGCCTTCACAACAGCAACTGAAATGAGAGTCAAGCTCCCAACTTAGAGGTAAGTCTAACCGGTTGCAAGGCACCCTGGGCTAGCTTTTGAGCCCATTGTTCTGGAATCAGAAGCAGCATAATTGAGTTAGCATGACAGTGCACTGGCTAATTTATTCTCCTGGGAAGCAGCTCTCATTAATTTAGGCACAATGCCATGCTGACATGGTTTCCAGTGAGAGAGTCAGATTGGGACATCGCTACATGGAACTGCTTTAATTTGTATAGACAAATCCAGAAAGCGCTACAAAATGTTGTATACATTGAACAATCAGAAATAGATCCTACACATTTCAAACTGGGCAACCAAAATTAGTGGATAATTTTGATTTTAATCTCTTGGGGTATATTGCTAGTTAGGGTTAACTTTAAAATTGATCCTAATCCCATATCTGCTGACCACTCAAAGTTAAGCTCTTAACTTGACCCCTGAACAGAAGTTTTAACCTAATCCTGGAAGCTCTGCCAACATTCTGGGCACTAGAGTGACCTTATTCCTCCCTTGCCTTCTAGACGTGCCTCTTTATGCAAAGTATTTGGACCTACCTGACAGAGCAAGCCTAAAGCACAAGTCATCCCCTGACACCAACCCCCTGACTTCTTCCCTGCCCTTCTGCACTCCTGCTTTCCTCTCTCTACTGTCTGTAGGTGGAGACAAACCCAGAAGAGACTAGACCAAGTCCTAGACTATTACCATTTTACATATAAACAGCAGTGTAAATGGCTGTGATGTAGGCAATAAGGTTTGCTTTAAACTGGGAAGGGCAATACACTTGCTTCAGGTTAAAGTTGACCCTAAATATCAGTGTAGACAAACCCTCCGTGCTGCAGTTCCCATCCTTTCAGCATAAAGGGGTGTTGTGAAGATGGTTTAATTAATATTTGTGAAGCACTCTGATATCACAGCCATGATAATCATAGAAAACCTGCCCTTAGCACAGTTAGAACAATATGTAGTAAATAAGGCATTCAGACACATGCTGAAAAATGAAGATAAAACATAGGATCAAACAACCAATCATTTAGTTAGCACATTTCTTCTGAATGAATGAGAGGACCCATGGAAGAATAGTGTGTGATCATATAATTTAAAAATGTATCAAAATGAATATGCACAAGGGGGATGAATTAATACTGCATAGCCAGCTTCAGTTTTGGCAGTTCATATCTTTTAAGTGCTTGACTTGCCGCCTTAATAATGTATTTTTTTTTTCTCTGCAATTTTATATTTAAGATAGTAATCGGTGTTAACCAAGCAGATACAACAACATTCACACCCCTAGGGATGTTGTGGTAAACATGCTCCATTTCAAAAGAAACTGGAGGCTTCTAAGGCAGATAGCACATGCATTTCATTATTTATAGACATAAGACATACCCACAAAGTGAAAACAAACAGATAAGCACACTCCCCCTCTCCCTCCCCTGATACTATTTTCAGTGTGGGGCTGGCTGCAGGTGATAACTTGAAAGCCACTTGAGGCTTGAGAGCCACAGCCTAAAAATCACTGAGTTAAGATGTCAAACATACTAACTTGCACTATTATTTAAAATAAACTGCAATAAGGTTGATACAGTTTTGCGCTCTTTACTGCTAAAAGGCTACAGAGTATGAATACACAATACAAAAGAATCATAGAAAAATTGGCTGTTTGTTCAAGTCCAACCCTCTACAAAAGAGAGGTTCATCCCTGTTTAAAGTGTGTATAACCTGCACTTAACCACTTCTACTTCTAGAGATTAAGATTCTACAACACTGGTTGGTAATCAGTTCCTATGTTTAAATCATCATCATAGTTAGAAAATTCTAACCTAAACTGCTTTTATTGCAATTCCCACATCCCCTCAAAATAACTGATCACCATTCTCTTATAATAGCCTTTTTGTATTTAAAGACTGTTATTAAGTCTTCCCTCAGTCTTCTCATCCCTAGACTAAATAATTCCAGCTCATCCAGCCTTCCTTTCTAGACTGCTAATAATTTTTGTGCTTTCCTCTGGAATGTTTCCATTTGTCCATATCTTTCTTGAAGTTTGATGCTCAAAACTGGACAAAGTACACCAGTGTAGGCCAGCTCTGTACTAAACAAAAAGGAAGAATCACTTTGTGTGACTTGCGCAGAACACCTTATTAATACATCCCAGCATTCTATTAGCTTTTCTTGCAACAATAATATGCTACTTACTCATAATCAGATTACAATCTACTAACATCCCCAAATGTTTTTCTGAAAGAATACAAGCTAGCCCATTTCCTGTTTTGTATCTAAATTCTGATTTTGAGCTTTTGATAATTACTTCCTAAGTGCACCACTTTCTGTCTACTGCTACTGAATTTCAATCTATTTATTTAACATATTTTTCCTAATTATCAAGGTAATTTTGAACTCTAACCCTGTCCTCTGAAGCAGGGGTCAGCAACCAATGGCCCACAGACCAGATCCAGCTCACAAAGGTTTGATCTATGCCACATTTTATTAATGTCATGCCAATCCCCTGCTGCCACCTAGCCATTTTAGTGGCAGCTGACTGGTTGACTGTTGCCATCCCAGCCATGCCTGGTCTGTGTGGAGGGCTAGCTACTTTCTTCTCTTTCTACTGCAACATCTGCATATCCTTGGCGCCAAATTAACTGGTCCAAATTGTTGCTCGCTATGCTTTTCACATTTTTGGGGTAAGGATATATTGAGGGGAAGGGGGGAAAGCAGCTCTCTGCATAGAACAGGGATGGCTGGAGTGGTAACAGGGGATCAGAGGCCTGTAGCAGTGGTAAGGGTGCAAGCACTATCCCACTATTAGAAAAGGTCGCTGACCCCTACTCTAAAGTGTTTGCCGCCTAATCCAATTTGGTTCTGCCATTCACAAACTTACTACAGATACAGTCAATTCCATCCTCCAAGCCACTAATAAAAATATTAAACAAAACTGGCCTCAGAACAGATTCTCCTTGATGCATTCTCCCAATCTGACATTGAGCTATTGATGACTGCACTTTGAGAACAATTACCCAAGAAGTTACGCGCTCACCTTATAAGAGTTTCATTTAGAGTAATGGGGGGGTTAACCTTTTTTGGCAGACATGCCACAAATTAGCCCTGTACCCTCCCCGAGCGCCTTTCCAATTCCTTTCCTTGGCATGATCTGCTATTCTGCTTTGGGCT